GTGGGGGGGGGAAACAACAGAACAAAAACCTAAATTGAAAGACAAGAGAGTTGACACAATAATTATAATAATCCACTTGCATAGTAATAACACCAGCGTGTGTAGTGTTCTGGGCGAGTCACAGCCTTCGACAGTCCTGTCTGTGAGTGTGTGTATTTGTGTGACACGGTGTGCTCGCGGAAAAACGACGTACACACACTCCAAGTAAACACAAAGAAAGGCATTGCAAACAATTAGCGGAAGTACCTGGCAATCGAATATACACAAGATTCCTGAATGGAATCAAAATATAATTCCCTTTCACTAGGGTCCTTGGTTCAGGAAGACTCCCCCTCCCTCTCCTTTGTCCCGGACCACAAAGGAGAAAACCTTATCGCTGAGCATCTTAGTGTTGGTCTGCACTGATTTACAGCTGTGGGCAAGAGTTGACCTCAGCCCTGGGATCAGATTTCCACAACCACGTGCCTCCAATAGAGAGGATAAGAGGATTTCTCTGACCTGGAATCAGTGGCTTTCTGCCCTCTAATCCTAACCTTGATCTTCAAATTCAAGTGAGATAAGCTGTTGCCTTCTTGGCCCCAACCCTCCTACAACATGTGATAAAAAAAGAGACAAGCACAAAAATGAAAACACGCTAGCATATATGTTTAACAGAACAGGCTCTTTCAGACCAAAATCCTGCACTGTCTGGAAGCTTTTCTTTAAAAAAAACGCCTCCAGTGGAGAGAAAGATGGCCAAGACAAAACTAGCAGGCCACTGCCAGCCTTCCCCTGACTGACAAAATATGGCAACAACACAGTCCCATAAGGGACACACACACACACACACAGATATACACATTCACACACATTCACACAATCTCAAGGTGGCACTGCTAAAGCTCTATCTGCTCAGGAGCTACCTTTTTTTAGGCCAAAACCATCCTCTACCTTCGTTTCTCAGGATATCCCAGGGTGCAATTTTCATCCCTCCACTTCTCTCCAGGATGCCTTAGACTAACTGGACCGAGGAACAAAACTTCCACAAGGAATTTCATGTTAACCTCGCCCATTTTCTGAAGACAGATGAAAAAATATGGGAGGAATATCAAGACAAGATCTATGTATCCCTTTCTGCTCCCGCCTCTCTTTTTCACACAGAACACAAGTGAGAGAGGAGAGAAGAAGAGAAGGAGGGGGTCCATCTCAACCTAATGACAGGCGCACACTCCCGCACACACCGAAAAAACAACTAGTGAACACACACACTCCAGAGATGCTGCCTGGGGAAAGGTTTCGTAAACAAAATTTAAAATTCTACAAAAATAAAACAGTATAAAAATGCCTTTACATATACACACAAAATTAAATAAGCATTTACTTTAGTTCCAAAAAGAAAAATAACATTATTGCACAAAATGAAAAACCGTTCTTAAGTGTATAAACTGTAAAAAAAAAAAAAAAAGTAACACTGAACCACAGGCAGCTTGGCTGCAGGGGTCAAGATGAGGTCAAGTGAGCTTGGTTATGTAATCGCCACCAAGTTCGACAAAAATTAACAAAAAACAAAACAGGAACCGACCTGAAACAAAGATGAGGAAAACAAAATACTGAAAGTAACATAATACTGAAACTACAAAACTGTGACCAAAAGTCATGCAGAAATGGAAAAGGTAGAGATAGTAGGAGGAAGATGCAGAGCTGAGGGCTGTTGTTCCATGTAAGCAGCAGCCCCAGAGTGAAAACTGCTGGTCTCTGGTCCTCTGTCTGCCTGTCCATCCTCCTTCGAGACGAACGAAGAGCCAGGGTCTTGCAGCCAGAGAGGAGAGGCAGGAAAAGTGTGGGGGGGGGAGGGAGAGGAGTGGTTTCTATCTGCTGAGGCTAACCGGTAGGCTGTCCCTCTTTCTGCGTCGCCAAGTGTTGCGGTGATACTGTGTGTGCGTGTGAGCGTGTGTGTGTCCGCGGTTAGCCAGGACAGGGTTGTTGACCAGCGGCTGGAAGCCCTTCACGTTGAACTTGACTCCGTTCTGAGGAGGAGTGGAGAAGAGAAAGCATTAACCAATCAAATCCATGCTAGTGTACATCGGTGGTATAATACCATTTATTGTGAGGACAGTGTTTGACATTTACATATATTTACTCAGCTCTTTTTTGTGTTTTCTCTTTCTTGCTGAGAGTTAGATTAGAAGATTGACAGTACTCTAAACACCAGAAGGTGGTTATCTTAGCATCAAGGCTGACAACAGTGGGAAATCCCATTAGCTTAGCATACACACTGAATGCAGGAGACAACATCTATCCTGGCTCACTCCAAAAGGTTAATAACAGCCCTCTACACCAGGAACCTGGAACGCTGGCAAATATATAATCTGTGTAATTCATATAAAAATGCAAAAACTAAGAGTGGAGGTTTTACAGGGGGTGAAATTCCAGACAATTTGCTGGTAAACACTTGTTTTTTTTACCTTTGGAGAAAGCCACGACTGCTTTTATTGTGTATGCTAAGCTAAGCTAATTGCATGCTTGCTGTAGCTTCATAATTAACATACTGATATGAGAGTGGTGTCAATCTTCTCATCTAACTCTTGGCAAGAAAGTACATAAGTGTCAAACCATCCCTTTAATAAACCATTTGGCTGCAGGGACTACACATTGGATTAAACTCTTGTTGTTTCTCTGACAGTGTCATTGTTTACTGATCAGTTATGGACTACAGATTCCAATTTCATATGTGTCGTGTGTGTGTGAGAGAGAATTCAGGCACTTGACAGAGAATGGTGGAGGGAGGAGAAACTGAAAATATGAGATGGAAAGAATGTGAACTCGTGTGTGCGACAAGTTTGCCTCGACAGTGCGTTTGGGTGCGTTTGTGGCATGCGGCGCCTACCTTGTGTGTGTGGCTGGAGTGGGGGCTGAGCGGAGGCTGGGGGCTGGAAGGGGCAGGGGCATGAGCATGGGCTGGGGGGGGCATGTGGAAGAAGGGGGGGAGCCCGGTGTCTATACACACCTGTCTGCCAGGTATGGAGTGCATTGCTAGACCACCGGGCAGTGAGACGCGAGCCTGGAGAATAGAAGGAACAATAAATAATGATTAGAATTAATTGTGGTTGTTTTAATCAAAATGCTGTTTATGCCCGCTTACAGAACACCTTTAATTTAATAAATACTGTATACAGTACACTTAACACCACCTAACCCTAATTTTTATGCTTCATTTTCTACTCAAATTCCAAATATTAACCACTACATACTTCTTTTGTTCCTAATTTCCATGCATGAACTGAGCAAATTAAATCCCCAGTGCCTGTAGTTGTTGCTGTGCGCCTACCTGTGAGCCTGGAGGCATGAGGAGATGGTGTCCTCCCATGCCGGGCTTGCCGGTGCCCATGCTGAGGCGTGGTGGCAAGGCGAGGCCCAGAGGCGGGAAAGACGGGTATGGCGGCAGGGCCGGCGGAGGGCCGGGACACGGCAGCGTTGAATCGGAGTCCTGGCAAAACGCACAAAAAGGACGGGATAATGAGCAAGGTTGGGTGTGTCATTTGTAGCTACTGTGTGTGTGTCTGTCTTAATTTAACAATAAAATTAGATGCAAATTGGGTGTTCTTCCATCAGATAGGTGGGTGGCAGTATTACTTCATTATGTTGGATGCCAATTGCATAATCACAAGAAAGTATAGTTGTGCCAGATGATGTATCACGGAAGTAGGTGGATACAGGTCTACAACAATTTTACCCGTTTGTCATGGGTGCTTTGTAACAACTAGTGTCTGCTGATTTCATTATAGGTATACACAGGAGTTCAACAGGGAAGGTGTTATGTTAATTGATTCTCGACACTGTACGTTTCCAGCCACCATTTTGAGTATAAAATGTCGCAAAAGGCTTTGCAGTGTGTGCCCGTCTGCTCAGCCTTGGTGTGTTTTCTTACGTTGTCTGATCCGGACAGTGAGGAGATAGAGGAGGCTGAAGAGTTCTGCTGGGGGCTGGAGATGGACATGGGCGAGTCTGCGCTGTGGGGTGACACAGAGTCCCTCTGCTGCTCCTCCGACCCGACGCCGCCACGGAGCACACAGGGCTCCTGCTCTGACACTGGCTCCTTGGGAGGTGAAACTACAAAAAAAAAGATCTTTTTTTTAAATCATTATCAATGCAAGAACAAGCAATTGTTCTTCGTGGTATATTAAAGTCTGAGGAGTCGTACCTCTGTTGTCTGTTCGAGCCGGATCCCGGCCCCCCCACTTCTTAATGATCCATTCTCTGTAGTCGATCACTTCCTGGGTCAACCGGATTATCCTGCCCAGGGTGCTGCGTGGAAGAGAGAGAGGGTTTTTTTTTTTAAAAGAGCACCACTTTTATCCAGGGTTTCTTTCATTCTGTTAAATGGATATAATACTGACCTTTCAGAGTCTTTGTTGGGATACGACCGTGCAAGCGGGGACACGGCATGACTTAGGACAGTGTAGGCGTAGTCAAACACCTGCTTGACATGTATGGCACCATAGGAACCCCTCCCCACATCATTACCTACATGGAGCAAATACAAACACAACAACACAATGGTAAATATTAAGGGGTAGAGAGAAATAATCTGGCTTGGTAAACTCTAAAGTCTTCCCTTGCTATGGGATATTACATATACATAAATAGAAATATGCAAATTATGCACGTGTGTGTAACCAGTTGTTGGCGACTGTCATCCTGCATCATCAGTGCATCATCAGGGTGAGGAAATCAAATTCCGGTGACTGACAGAAGTTTCTGCAGCACTTTAAAGCTTTGATGTGTTTATTTATATTCTTTGGTGTCACAAAGAGCTCACGAAGAAATAACAGATTGTAAGCACTATTAGTATTATTAGACATGTTATGAATAATGACTAACAGGTAGAGACGGGGTGAAAAGAGGGTGTTTTGTACAGTAATGATTACTGTGGGATCACTGTCACTCTTTTTATTGAACTTAATGAGCTGAAAGTACATCGAGTAGGATACAAGCAGGGCAGTCTAACCAACTTTTAACCTATTAATCAGGAAAAATACCATAATGCAATGATTTGGATTTATATATATATATATATATATATATATTGAATATATACAGGATTTATTAGTAGTTTAGCTTTTGAGATCACACATCTGCTATCACAATATCCAGAGTTTGCTTGAAGGTGGGCCGAGGGCTCCCAGTTAGCTCAGTGGGTGCTTTGCTGTTTGCAGACCTATTTGTTCTTTTTTATTTGTTCTTAGAATCAGCTATTAGTTCAGTAAAGGTACCACCTGTATTCACTGTAATCATTGTAACCTTGTGAAACACACCTGGAAGCAGTGGGTCCTCTATGCAGAGCATGGATGGCCTGTATCCATTTGTCATGGCCTTCATGATCTCCTCTTTGGCTATGTATGCGCCTCCATTTTTGATGCGAATCCCTGTTTTCAAGTAGTTGAAATGGCGGCCATACAACTCAAAGAACTCAATCAGCAACACGCCCAAATTCTCATTGGGGTTTCTGGCATCGATACGAGGATGGAGCTGAAAGGCAACACAGGAACATTGGATTCGTATGCATTTAAACAATTACTACCATGCATTGGTAAAGACTACCCAGGAACTTACTAATAACTATTCTATAAATCCTGTTATTGCTACTACTCAGTATCAGTATTACTACTTTAAGTTTACTTTCATAAACACTGCTACTACCACTAAAATTGCTTTCAAAGTGCAACTGCTACCAAATCCGGCACTAGAGCTACTTTCTGCTTATTACAACATTTTTTTTTTTTTCTTATTGTGTGTGTCTTTCCGTACCTGTAAGAAGCTGATGACCATAAGGATGAGGCTGTAAGAGCTGATTCCCCCGGTGAAGACTTCGTTCAGATCTCTCTGCAGCAGAAACTGCTTCAGCACAAAGATCAGGTAAGGCAGCACGGGATACATCTGAAAGTGGAAGAGGAGACAGATGTGGAGTGAGAATGGTTTATTCAGTCAAATTTGGAATTAAGTAATTAAGAGGAACCCGAAAAAAAGAAAAGAAAAAAAAAAGTCGATTTAAAATGGATTCAGGCTTCATTTGTATGACTCACTGAGGAGAAGGGGGATTTCTGATGAGATGTATAGAGTTCAGGGAGTTAGAGACAGGACCAAACTACATTCAAAGTGAAGAGAGCAAATTATTCAAATGGATGCAAATAATTATAATATATATCACCTACCCCCAGAGGTGTGAAACTTCAGCTAAATACCAATTTGATTTGTGGCTGGCGAATTCAAGGGCACTTACCATTAATTTTTAACTTTGAGTCAATTACATTTTGTAAACCATGAATTGATTCAGCAACTATTCTGCAATCTTGTAAAACCATTAAATATACATACTGGATATCCAGGCAGACAACCCTCGCAGTGGATTTATTTTACAGTTTCTGGCTAGACTTACTAGAGAATTTAGTAAGAGTAGTAAGATTTACTAGCACTACCTGCAGCCTCAAAGTGGAAATGCTGTGTCGCCTGAAGTACTCATATACACATGTCATGTTTTCACATTTACTGTGTTACATCATTGCATACGGTTTTTCTCTTAGGAAGCTATAATGCTGGTTAACCAGAAATAAGCGGCACGATTACTGCTGGAACCACTGTGATTTAATCTCAATGTTGTACTACGCTGAAGCAGTTGAATAATCATAATTTGTAAATCGCTGCTCGTATAAATTGCTACCCCCTTCTTACGACATAAATACTCTACCTAGCTTCCAACTGGGCCAAACGTTCTAAAAAGGTATTCAATGAGGCTTCCTAGTGCCTGTGACTTGATAATGTGCTGAAACCCCAGAGGGCCTGGGAATGGGAATTACAAATATGTTCATTTTCCAATTGAAAAAGAAGCATAACCTCCTGGCGGTATGTGTGTGCATATCTGTGCCAGTGGAGCAGCAGGGCTTGGTTGACTTTTCAAAAATGCTTTTAAGAAGTGAGAACCAGACTGGGAGCTAACGCTGCTCAAACTGGCTGCATGGGAACCTGACATATGAGGATTAACTTTGACGTGACCCCTCAATGACAAGACTGCACTGGAGTCTGTCACACCCACGCATTAACTATCACTGAACTGATGCGGAGTGTGGCTGTCAAATATTCAAGCTGTGACATGTACTCCAGGAGAACCATAACACAAAAGTGCAACAACAACAAAAGGACAAAAGCCAAAACCTTGCAGCGTGCTGGAACATCAGCCTGTGGAATTCCTCTCCCGCATTAGCGACTACAACTAAGCAGAGATCCACCTTCAGCAGGAATTGTGTCAGAGCCATGGGGTGGATTTCACCTCCGCTGAGTACATTTGGCAACGAGGTTCACAGCAACACGCAGACTCAGTTTGAGTGAAGTGGAGATTAGACTGAGCACGGTTGCTGGGGTCCGTTCCAGCTTCACTTTGGAAATGAGACGAGCCAATGTGAGATTGGAGTGTAGGAAAGTGTCATGCTTTAAAACTGCTGGCTTGCCTGATTCACAGAGGGAATTTCCACAGTTCTGTATTTAGACCCCACAGTAAAATGGTAATTATGTGACTCCTCTGGTGGCTTTTTAAAAAATGATTCTACGTGACCTTTTCCTGCTCTCTTCCTCCCTTTTTATGTATAGCTTGTAATGTGTGTGTTTTCGGCAGATTTCATTTAATCTGTGAAGTTTTCAAATCACACGCCCCTGGTTTTAAAATGGAGCAGCAAAAACCTACAAATGGATTTCTGGGCGTCATGTGATGCCTTCTGGGCCGACTCAATGATTAAATAAAATAACAAGAAGATATCGAGAGTACCTGTACGCTGTAGGTCCTGACAGCAATCTCACCATAGGTATATCTCACCTTAACATAATCTTTAATGAAGCTTGCCGCCTTTACTCCAGTCTCCACATTGAAACTGATGTCCACCTTAACCTCAGTCTCCTGGTCTGTCAGTTTAATGATTGGCACCTGAAAGGACAAAAAGTTGTACATTAGCAAACATATACAGTCAACTCATCAGCTAAGGACACTTTCACTGTGTGCCAAAATCAGAGAGGAAAAAAACATCCATCCCATTAACTACTTATTATCATGTCAGTCAAGACAGCACTGCAGCTTGCAGTGGTTAGCCTGGTCGTGCGCACACCCCACAGGATGATGGTGCATGCTACAGAGCTGCCATACTACTGTGGGATTGTAGCTCTAAACACTTCCACCACATTACAAGGCCTTTTTTAGATGCAAAAAAGAAATAGACAGTGAGGTATCACTGCCCCGAGGGTGAGTGGTTAATGACCAATTTTAATTTTGGGTGAACTAGAGCTGACAAGCTGCTATTGTGATATTATAGTGGGCACAAACAGGAAATGGTATATGTACAGTTAAACATAAAAGTGTGCCACCTATTGGGCAAACAGATAGAAGACCCTAGTTGAGTGTCTTCTATTCCCCTCATATTTCCATGGAGATAAAAGAGTGAAGGAGCCAAAGCTTTATACTCCTAACTAACCATTTGTAGTGTAGGGGAACTTTTCTAGGAAGGTTAAAAATGCTGCCAAATTTTCATTTGGATCAGTTTATTCCAAATGGTTTCCTCATTTACTGGGGCTCAATTATTTTAACACTTACTGTGATGAATAAAAACCTTTGTGAATACTGAAATTAACCTTCAAACAATATTAGAAAATATTAAATACAAAATTGTAGTGTGTCTAATGGTCATCCACTGTTGCAAACCAGTGTTTTAAAGGACTCGATATAACACGGCATGACATGTGTCTGCAAAGAGAAACATGGTCCTGGTTGCCACTACTTACTGTAGCCTTGTCCAGCACTTTGATGGAGAAAGGTTCTGCCACGTTATGCTTGCGAAGAGCTTGTTCCAACTCTTGCAGCGGGGGGCGCTCCCACTTCCCAAACACCACCAGGTCAATGTCACTGATGGCAAAAAAAAAAAAAACACCCCCCAGAATGTTAAAATACTGGCCAGCAAACATTACAGTTTGAGTTTTCTTTAATCCTAAATGATTGTGTCGTACCTTGTTGGAAGGTACAGCCCTGTGCTGAAGCTGCCAAATATCTGGACCTGGAAAAACAAGGTTGAAGAAATATGAAAACAATGACCAAAATCACTGTAGTTCATCTGTTAGCCTTAGAGACAGCACACACATATAGAAAGGCTAAATGTGGGACACTTGAAGAAACACATTTCACAGCCTCTCCTGTCACATTCTTACTATAATGGGTTTGGCAACACGCTTTTGACAGTCCAGATCCTGTGTGTCATAAAAGAGCTCATTTGTAGTGATGATGTATATATCCAATTCAAATGTTTGCAAACTAGGAACTAGGTATTTCCGGGTTCCACTTCCGAGGCAGTAAACACTGCCAAGTTGAGTAAGCTGCCAAATTAAGTACACAATAGCGAGGGGGGGGCGCTGTGTCTGGGGGCTGCAAACGAAAGCTCTCCAAAGGAAGCAGAGTGGAGTTCTTTCCCTTCCCGTTTAGTTAATGTGACAAGGCAATAGCACAAAGACAAGCCAGGATTAATAGGTTGAAATGAAAAGGGAGGCCGGTACAAATCACAGGCTTGATCCATTTACCTGACAATCTGACTCACAGTGGATGACTGGCAGCTAACAAATCACCACTGCGCGTGTTTTACATGTTTAAGTAATGAGAGGGGCATTACATCAACCCTATGTCGCTGCACTACTCAACCAGCTGCCGGATCCTCCATCACTATTTCTACACATACACACAGAGTGCACTTAAAAAGACAATGATTTATAATTTGTTTTCATTAAACTACTTTCTACTTTTTCTAACTTTAACGCTGTGACCAGTTCGTTTCATCTATGGAAACGACAATTAGCAGCAGGATAATGCACTTCCTGGTTAGCTTTAAAAGGAATGAAACTGTGTGCCAAACTATTTCTTGGCCAGGACCAGTTGCCAGGCAACCAGCAGAGACTCCAGGAATTTACTGGACCCAACCAAAAACATAGTACGGCACATAACCCCCGTAAAACAGCAAACTGTTGTCTTTACATGGATTAAACAAACAGATACAACAACAGGAGGTTTATTTTGTTACCTTAAGACAAAGCCAGGCTAGCTGTTTCCCCCTGTTCCCAGGCTTTGTGCTAAGCTAAGTTAGCCAGCTGCTGGCAGTAGCTTGATATTTATCACACAGATGGTATCAATCTTCTCGTCTAACTCTTGGCTATATTTTTTAAAAATATCGGCCTTTCCCTTTAAGTTTTACAGAATCCCAAGCAGCTATAGAAGTTGAAAGTGTCTCATTTAAGACCGACTAACCGACATTTTAACTACAATTACTTCAACTAAAAACAAACTCAATACTTTTTTGCAAGTTCTGTCCCTTCTACTTCAACAAAACAGTATTTAAATATACAGTAAGTTGGTGTTATGCTGTACAAACACTGTCTCACCTTCAAAAAGAAACACAGTATCTCAAAAAAGATTTATGAGCGATCTGAGATCACAGTTAAGTGTGCGTGCCAGTAATTCCTCCTCCATGAGTGGCCTGTATGATTTAAGAGACTGCTCTCTAAGATATTAAGAATTTGAAAGGGGCAACGTTGGTCCAAACAAAACAGAAGCGTGTGTGTGTGTATTTTACATCTGCAGTGGGCCACAGCTCCTTGATGATCATCTCTATCCGGTTGACCACCTCCTTTCTCATAGCTGCTTCCTCTGGCCGGGGAGACATGAAGTTGTAGAAGTCCATCACCTCCTCGTGGAGTCTGGACAGAAAGGACGATGACAGATGAGGGTTATTCTCAGCACATTAACAGTGATGCTACACACAGACTAATGCGGATGTGGATTAAGAGGAACAACTATAGATGATCTGAAATATGTTTTTTTGCTTTGGAATATTTCTTATTGCAAACTTATATACAACTAACAATCACATGAGGATATCTTCTGAAACTTGACTTACACACTTACAAGACTTGGCTTACACTTTGGAGAAAAAAACCTCTCCAGATGGCTCAAGATATGCTTCCTTCTTATCGCCTATCTGATTAACTCACATCGTGCCAGAGCCGGGGAAGTAAAGCAACAGCGTAGTATGTTAGAGATTGTCCAGTACATTCCCAATACCAGTATGTATGTAGTGAACTCAGGCCAGACAATGGCACAGTCTGCTGATGTTTTCTGAAGCGTTTATTTATGTTCAGCCTCCAGCCTTATTCTCAACATCATTCTTTCTTCCCTTTTTTCCATTAAACACCAGTAAGCCACACCATTGTCTGGCCTGCGTTTGCTACAGTAAGAGCGTGTTCCTGTTCCAGCCAGGCGCTTGTACGAATACAAAATCCTTACGCTGCAGAGAAAAGTGGCAGCAACAGAGTAGCATAACGTTTCCATTTGAACTAGTGTCAATTTGCTGTCTTACAGACGCGACGTCCTGTATTCCACCTGACGTGTGTCAAAATAAAAGACGTGAAGAGAAAAGGCCCGCGCAGGAAGTGGTTACAGCGATATACGGCTCGGGTTGGTTAGATTGTTAGGGTGAGAATATCAGGGTAAGCCAATCAGTCAGACGGGTCATGACATGACAAACAGGACGCTGTAGGGAGCAGCAGGGTCCGTGTCGAGACTAATGAATGACATGAAATGGGATCGGTGCACAGACGTGTACTCACCAGAGGAATTTCCAAACAACCCGAGTATGTTATATTGAAATACATAGTTTCTATTTTGTTTTGTTGATTCTACTTTACTTGACCTGTCAGGTTACAAAGAACACACTAGATACTGTACTTGTTAAATGTTGTAGTAGTCTGAAATTCATGAAAATAAAAAGATTTATTGCTGACTGGAAACCTATTTTCAACAGCGTCAAAATAAAATATTGTGACAAAACACACGCAAGTTCTTCTCCTTTTTTCTTAGGATAACTAACCGAGAGAGTGAAAGCCTGTTTCTTTAATCTACCCTTAATACTAGACGTAGCCCTGTCCATAACAGCATCTGTAACCACAGCCCAGAAATAAGACAGAACTGGAGTGGTCATGGAAGGAGGAAGGCAGACTTTGCAGAAGGACATTTGGACATTGGACATTTGGTCCTCATTGAGACACAGGTACTACTACACACTTTCTGAAGTTTTGAGAGGAATGTTAAAAGAGGCTTTAGTGAAACACTGAAGGCCATATCAGCCAGAGTACGCCTGAAGAGTTCCAGGCCTTATTATTATTATAGTTGTTGTTGCTGATACGGTTTTGTGTTTGGCAACAGTGAGGCACATATAATGTAAAGATTTCTGACCAGTCAAATGCCTCCGAACAGTGGAACTCTGTTCAACCCTGTGGCCATTCATTTTTCTAGGAATGCACACCATGATGTCAGTGTGAAATACAGAACAGGGAGACTGTCACAATCAATTACCAGAGCCCTGGAGGAAATGCAGTCAGCCCATGTGCCCCACTCTTTGGTGAAAACTCTCTGCCAGCAAGCCAGGGCGTATCCATGCCAATAGTCCACCGCTGACAGAGGGCACGGTTATTGTTGGGCCCCACACAGACAAAATAACAACTGCTGCTACAGCCTGACAAACACAAGTTCACTGTGAAACACCACCTCTTTAACAACTTCAGGACATCCAGTTAAGGTAATCAATGGTGTCCACTGGTGCAGTCTATGAGAGCCATGTATCTTACTGTGGACACACCGTTTTACTGCCACACAGAACTACACAAACACAAGTTTCTATTAACCTGACTTCATCTCTGATCATCACAATATCAAAGTAGGAAATGATTTGTATTTTAAATTTGGAGTGCAAAACCCTTTAGTGGGACTTCAAAGGGTACCCTGGAGGCAAAGTGCACAAGACAAAACTTGCATCAGAAAACTTGTAGTACCACAAATACCCAGGAATATGTTGTTCATTCATTCGTTCAGTTTGCAGAACAAAACATAAATGAACAACTGAGACTTTCAGTTAACGTATGATTAGGGTTATTATGAAACGTAGCATTAAGCATGTGGAAGAGCTTTCATGACCAACACCGATTCCTTGTGAAGAAAAGTCCCAGATGGGTGCAACCAGCCATTACAAATATCACAAGGTCCTGCAACACATCTGGAAGTTCCTTGTCCACTTGCTTTTTGAAGAAGGCTTCTGTCAGAGCTAAACGACTACAGTTATAACTGCATGAATATAGTATATATTTAGTTACACAACTCTTACAGAGCACCTACGGATAATTCAGCAACACTAAACAGCAAAAAAGTGAGATCAAACTACAAATATATATGCTCCAGTTAAGCTGTACTCAAACTGTGTTCACATAAATGGATATTTTATTTTACTTTGGTCAGTTTTTGTCAATAGGACAAATATACATCAAGGCCCTTGCCTGTCTGGTATGTCACACTGAGAGAGAGCTGCATAAAGAATAACCTGGAAAAAGAGAGAATTAACTGTGACTGCATCCACAATAACTTGGGTATAAAGGCCGATCATCCAGAACTGAACACAGTGGAGTAAAGACGATGTGCATAACTCAACATACGGATAGTTTTACTGCACTTTTATTCATTCAGTGCAATGCAATGCAGTAAAAACTACTGAAAACAACAAAAACTAAATCCTTGTTTCTCCCTTAAACCCAAAGTTTGACCATATTCTCAATGTATGCAGACGGATCACTTGATATTGGGAATAGTTTAGGCACCCTGGAGATCGCCCGAGGGAGAACATAACTTCACAAACCATTACAAGTTAAATGTTGTCCAACCCCGTTAGCTAAAACCTGGGTATGTGGCTGTATTTTATACGTATTTTGCTCTGCTATTTAGACGTTCAACTCTCCTTTCTAATTCGGCTGGATTGTATTTGGTTGTCGGGTAAAGTTTATTCATTTGGTTTTTAAATTGCTGAACTTTAACATGGAGCCAAAGGGAAAACCCGTTAGCTACGTTAGCTCCTCGGTCAGGCTAACAAACGGACTGTAAGGCAACATATCCGGTCAAAACCTTCTAAATAAATAAATAAAAAATCACCAATTAAAAAAACCCACTACAAGACAATCCAATAACAGGATTATATTATTATTATTATTGTTGTTCACGTCCCCGCAGTGTGTAACTTTAAATCGTACAACTTCAGTTTAGACGTTGTAATTCACCAACGGCCCAGTTCAAACTTCAGCAGACAAACAACACTTCCGGTCTGTCTCGGGCCGAACGTCGCTGTCTTTACGTAAATCTAACGGCAGCTTCTACAGCGGCTCCAGTTCACACTGCAACGCTGGCTGCACTGGGTCACGTTAATAAACAGCTACATCACGTTGTGGGTGCCTTAATATTTGGCACACACATATTTGTGAATGTCCAGCGACACTGAACCATTTAAAACCAGCGGCAAAAGGCAAACGTTAGCTTTTAAACCCTAAAGCAGTTAAGTCACCGTTAGTGCTCCGCCACTCACCCGAGAACCCCAGGGTTGTATTTCCTCGTCTTCCAGGGCGTCAAAGTGCTCGCATAATTGCCATTAGTGCAGTTTGAAAGCAAGTAATTCATCCCATAAGTGCTCGCTTTGTTGTCACTTTTCCTTCGGCCCGGGTGGTGAGTGTGTGTCTGGTTTACAGGTACAGAGGGGTGAACCTGGTGGCGCTTCACGCAAACCTGCTGCAAATTGAAAGCCGGGTGCTCCTGTATGTGACGGTGGTGGTGGTGGTGGTAGAGGTTGACATTATTGTCCATGCTGTCGCTCACGTTAAAAGTCATATTGGCACCCCCGACGTTTTTATTAATGTTGCCCGTTACATTTCCACCCATAGTCCTCTCAAGTGAGCAGCTGGAAGGGGGGTTGTCCGTCCTGGATTCCTGCGAGGAGGACGAGGAGGAGACGGATCCCGTCTTCTGGGGCAAGCCTTTCCCCTCACCTGGGTCCGCGGTGTTTGCCGTGGTGAAGGAGTTATGTACGTTCCCGTTGGACAGCGCTATCCCCAGCGACGATATCGCAGTGCCGTTAATACTAACGTTAGTAGTGCCGTTCATGATGCTGTGATGGCTGCTGCCGTTGCTCAAACTGGCAGCAGCGTTGCCGTTGCCGTTGCCGCTGCAGACGCTCTTGCTCGATGCCACCGCGGTTGCCACATTTTTTAAAACATCCAACGCAGCGTAATTCACACACTGGTTGTGGTTTTGATTGTGGAGCTGCTGCTGAGCGGAGAGTCTCCGTACTCCCTGAGAGGTCTCCCAGACGTGCATCCATAAGGCGTTCGCAGGTCCTTTCTGTTCGGGCTGAATCCAAGCTACCCTCGGATCCATTCAACTTCTTTCTCTGGTAACCCCCCTACAACTATCTAACTGACACTAGCGAACCCGTTGTGAATCTGCGCCGCTTCCTGGACCTGTGAAAGGTCGCTACGCTGTCCGGGGTTACGAAAGGAGAAGTATTTAAACATTAAACCGTAGTAGGAGCATTGATAAAGTGGCCCCTTTACACCGCTAGCTGGAAAAAAACTGCTAGCCGTTTCCTACGGGAATTCAATATGGCGTATTCTCTTCAAATCCATGCGCATGCGCTCTACGAGGGGTTTCTTAAACGGATGACTGCGCCCCCCACCCGCCCACTCCTTTATCACTCCGGACGGCTGGTGAATCACACACAGTACATATTTGAATTTTTATTTGATAAATATTTAATTGAACAACAAATGAAGTACACCGTACAACGTCAATAATGAATAGGGGTCCTGTGGTCCAGTGGCTCTCGAAGCAAGGGCTGGCAACCCAGAGGTCCTTGTGCACTCTATCTCCACCTCCCGGCCGTCAGTAAAGGCTGGGGGAGCGGGTGGGTGGGTTCAAAGGGGATCCCCCATCAATATGTGGCCGGACAGTGGCTGAATCTCGCGGGGATGACAGATAACTGTTGACATCCGAGCCTCAATAATCAGTCTCAAAGCACTGGCAGACATTTTAAACCAAAATTATAAAGATGTTATAAAGATGCAAAGCTGTGGATCTTCAGGCTAATAGTTGGTTGTGACCCTTAGGGAATATGTTATTTGAATGTGGATAGCCCATGATCCACAGCTTCGAGTGCCTCTGTTTAGGAAAGCTCTGACAGAAAAGACAAAAAACCCACTGTAAACATTATAAATCCTCAACTCTTCAACAAAATACAATCTACATAAACATTGGACATAGACGGAGACCACATTGTGATGTCAGCTGGCATCTCAGATTCTGCTGGGGGCCATAATCACAACCTCTGGCCCTTGAAATGCTGCTCACATACATACAAAAAGCACAAAAAAAAAAATCACACTGCATTCCACAGGGTAACACACACACCATTTTTTTTCACTGTCAAAGCGTAAATGCAGCTCCTTCTTTTTCTATTTATTATTTCAGATGCAGCCTACGCTGTGGCCCGTGAATCCAAATGCTCATTATTAAGGGGCAATACACAGCAGGTGGTCTTGATCATTCCAGCACCAGTAACAGCCATCTCCCTGCCCGTTAAGCTCCATGATGGAGAGCGGATGGAGGCTGGATAATGCATAACCAGCAGCACCTTCTGGGATGTGTATGCATGTAAAAGAGAGTGAGGGAGAGAGTGTCTTGCATAATGCCCGCCCCCCCATAACCGCTACTCACGTGCAGCATGTGACAAGTCAAGGAAAACCCCCCAGAGCAAACTAATGTGCCAGCTAGGATATGTTGCTCTGTGTATAACACACTCAGGCATATACACACAGCTGCTCACTCCCACTGTACGCCTGTAGAAACCCATGCTATCTCCTTCTATCTTACACTGTATGAAACACAGGCGTCGAGTGACACACCAGATTGAATAGGTTATTCCTCTCATCCCTCGTGTATCGCAGTCTCAGCTCAAGCCTTAACGCCATCACTGACTGTGTGCCAGTGTGCGCGTGTGTGTCTGATTTCAAGGCTGGTTTGCCTCATTGTCAGCTTTTATGGGATTACCACACTGCTGACAACTGGACCATAGCTGACAGATGCCTAACATAGACACACAACCACACACACACACACATATATATAAACGGAGACAATGCAGGAGAAGTCAACAGTATGCTCTCAGGCTTCACAGTAATAGCAGATAATATTTGGAAGCAGGCAGTAGTCTGAGACTGCATGTGGCTTGAATTTTAATGAGGCCGCAGCATGTTCCAGATATTTAACCCACATTAGTGAAAAGCTGCGTTTTCACTGTTACATCAACAGCTATTTCACATTTCGACACATGAACATATTGCCCCACAGTATAACGAGGACAGAGTTACAATGGGCCCAGCGAATAGCATCCATCTGCACAGTAGCAGGTTCAGAGCTGCGATCTGGACCTGCCGTTTCAGTCAACCTGCGCCACTTACAGGCAAGGAAAGCAACAACAGCGGTTTAGCCCTAAAGGTACTGTAGGCATGCTGATGTGTGCCATCTACGGGCAAAGTAACATAGCATCTTTAATGTCAACACTTACACCCCCTGCAGGCAATGAGGCTTTACGTTCGTTGTCACGCATTGCAAGTTTTTTGCTTTGTGAATAGCAAGCCTTTTTACACATTTTAAACTAGCAAAACGTGTTATGGTAACTGAAGCATATTTTCTTCCATGACTGTCCTTCTGGTTCGTTTGGAGATGATTCTAAATAAAGTGTGTTGATTCTAAGACACACACACATACACACAAAAGTCCATGTGATGGAAATTTGCATTGTAATTTGATGGAGTTTTTTAATTATTTTTTTTTATTAAACCTTTATTTAACCGGGAAAGGTCCCATTGAGATTAAAAATCTCTTTTTCAAGGGAGTCCTGGCCAAGACAGAACAGCAACACAAAACAAGAACAAGTCAAAACAACCAGGGACACAGACACACATAAATAATATTACAACACATAGTGGTCTATAAATGCTAACAGTACAAATACTTTGTATAAATACAAATCATGAAATCAGCAACAACCTCAGCTAAAACAACACCTGGATGAATCAATCTCTTGCTTTTTTAATGTGGATTTCAAATAACTTACATAATCGTTGTTTATGGCCAGAATATAAAGCCTTATGGTGAATATTTCCTTAAAAAAACTGGCATACACACATACACGTTTTAACAAAATGTATTAAAGGTCCAGTGTGCAGAGGTGGCAAAAGTACACACATTCTTCACTAAAGCAGAAGCATTGATTTAACTTGTTTAGTCAAGTAAAATGAAAAAGTACAGGCTCCGAAATGTACTCAAACTATAAAAGTACTCTTTCGTATCGTGTCTGATTCGTTACATCTTTTACGTTGTTTTGGCGTTAAGGAAGGTGTGCAATGATACATCATACACACTGGTGCTTTAATCTACAAAATCTTATAAAGCTAACATTTGTTTTATAGACACAACCTGAATTCTTAAAACGTCATCAACACACACACATACAGTATGTGACATTAAAAAAAAATACCACTGTAACACTCTGCAGGTGGCACAAGTGTTAAAATTAAAGCACCTATTCCTATCTTTGTCTGTAGGAGGCATCATTGCAGGTCTAAACTGCTGCTTCTCTCCTATAGGTGGTATCTCCAGGCTGTGTGAATAAATCTGGGAGTTGGAAAATTAAAAGCCAGTTCATTTGAATGCTTTGCATATAAAAAGAAAATCCAATGGTGTCTGCCTGAAGATGAATGATATTAAGGTCAGATGGCAGGCCCAGTAAATACTGGCTGTGTAATATATGATGCAATTACAAGAAGATGGATACAGAAGAAGAGGATACACAGAGGAAATAGTCTGGAAAAAAAAGGGGGAGAGACAGTGGAGACCTTGAACATGAAGGATGTCACTTTGCATCGTCTTCAGCTTTTTTATCACACTCAGACATAGTGGTTCTATTATTTATTGATGAAACCATGTGTAAAATCAATGACAAAATACATTTATTTTAAATACAACACATTTGGAAAATTCATAATGATGTCACCTTGGCTGCGACTGGGAGAGGGATAGAAGCTATACAAAGCTGGCACTTTCTGTGCTCTCCTTGTGGAAAGCTTCAGTATAAAGTTCAGTGCAACCTGTGTTGTCAGCCAATGTCTTTTTCACTTGCATTTGAACTTAAGTTGTGAAAAAGTGATGAGGTAATCCCACCAACTAAGCCCACTTTGTGAAAACATACTGAAAACATTGAAAAGGCAGATCATATTATTACAAAGTAAGACACGATTCTCAAAAAAGTCAGAACACTAATAAGATTATTTAGCTCATGGTTGAAGTGATTATGAATCGATACCGATGTTCCTTTTTCTTCCCTTTGCTGTCTTTCATTCAATCACATGCAGCCTCGTCTATTCACTGTCATTTATGCTCAACATGCTCTACAATACTTTTCCCTTTCATTCCTTCACTTCTCTCTTTCTCAGACACCCTGCCAGGGGTGATGTGCTGAGGCAACGCTCTCTTCTTCTCATTTCAGGCATGGCTGAGTTCTTGAGGGCCGTGCTTCATCTCCATTTGATTTCCCTGCAGCCCAGTAGCTGTGGAACCGGCCTGCTACAGTCTCTGTCTTTACAGGACAGATGCAGTTACCGTTTGTTCTCAAGTGGTTTCTGTTTCAGGAGTTTCAGATGAAGTAGAAAAGTCTTTCTGATGACACCCACGGCAAAATGAGACAGGACTCAATTCAGGGTCCCCCTTTTATCTAATGCGTTTAAATGGAAGATAAAAAGATGCATTTGCAACCGATGACTCTTGAGAATGAATGAAAAGTTTAAATGTCTGCTTTGCATTTCCAAGTTTATGTTCCATCTGGGAGGATATGCAGATCAGCGTAGGGTCTTAAAACTGTTTATTGCTGCAGAAGAGTGTTATAAATCCACTGTATTAGTGTTGAGGTATGCTCCATTCACTATCTTATTTCCTCCAGAGGAGTGCTAAAAGTTGCCTCTCCGGCAAACACAACTCTTCCAGTACATTCAGTTCCCGGCTGTTGAGGTTACTTTGTGCTTCATGGACATTATTCCAAAGGTAATGAGTAAAAATCTTCTGAGGATGATGGCTTTTTACTGTGGCTTGCTTGCAGCTCAGATGAGATTGTTTACAAGCGTGCAACCTGTGTTTCATTTGTCCTGTTCTGACATCAGAGCTGTCCTAAATTATAAAAAAGGATGATGGGAATCTTGTGTAAGAACCAGCACATTTTTAGGCTTCCAGTACCCACAGTGTTTTTAGAACAGAAAGGGAATCAGGGCCTTCCTACTTTTCGGGTAGTCTTCAAACTTAGCGAGATACCATCTGTAGAGAAAGAGGAAACAGGGCCGTATTTTTCTATTAAAACAAGTATTTGCTTCAAAGTGTGCAATACACTCCATGAAAACCTGCCTACTGTGTGTGTGTGTGTCTGTTTTAGTATTCTTACTTGTGGTGGGCCACAGCCCTGCTGGCGAGGACCACTGCGGTAAAGATGGCGAAAGCTGAACTGTGAACAGAGTGGCCAGCCAGAGCGAAGCCTGCCCACTCTGTTATCTCTCCTAAGAAGTTGGCTCCAGACACATACTCAAACATTCCGCCTGCAGGTGAAAGAGACAGGAATAAGGAAAGGTATGTGCATCCTTTCATATGTTCACCAAAGCAAAAACAACCCAAATATTTTACTCTTGAAGAAAATAAAATGTGATGGATTTTCACTTAGAATTCATTCAATATTTCGCTGAATGACTACTGGCATTTCAACTATCCCGCAGTGTAATTTTGAGTCGGCGCGCTGCTAAAAACTCAAAGGTCATCCGCAGAACTAGCTCCACGCTGACCACAGACGGCTGAGCACCCACTATTAGTCTGCAGGACGTGTGCGGCGTTGCTACACTCTATTTGCAAATGGCAGTTACTTGGCTGAGGGGATTCCAGACGTGCCTGGAAGTTCATTTGGAGCAGCGCGGCGCACAGCTTCCTCCCACCTCGCCTTCTCCGCTTTATTTTCCTTAAGGGTCCAGGTTGGATTGTTTCAACAGGTTCACCGCAAGTTCACGCTGAAGGTGCTATTGTTGTGACTATGTTGCTGGTCAGGGGAGCCACTCTCTCTCTGTGAACCTGTTATGATTACTGATTCATTTAGCAAAGGAAGGGATCCAATTTATGGTTTGAATTAGCCAATTATGTGATCTAAAAAAGCTGCGATATAGATTTTATTTTGCTTTTCCAATACATAACGCCCTTAAGGCGGTTTGTCTAAAGGAATTTGGAGATGGGCCAAAAGTCTTGTTTACCCAACCCCACCCCCGAACTTGCCACATCTCATAGACCATGCATCCATTTCCACATAGTAAAGGTCATACACTGTAAAAATATCCATCTTCTTTTATCTGTATGGTCAGTGAATTGTAATCACCTAAAACTAAACTGAAAACTAAAACTCGGTGTGAAAAAACCTTTTAACTGAAATAAAAATAAAAACGAGACATGAGAAAAAAAAAAGAAATCATATTGTGTACTTACAAAACTAACTAAAATAAAATAAAAATATACAGGAAGTATCTTTAGTTTTAGTCAATTTTGGTCAAATAAGTCAACACAACAAGCACGAGGTGGCATTGGTGCACATGTTTATTAAGACTGGGATGTCTACATTGCGGTGAGTCAGTGTGTTTGTATTGTATTCTTAAATCTTGCCCCTGACAAATACCCCCATATTATAATAATCAATAAAAAATCTAACAGTGAAACTAACAATAACTAAAGTAAAACGCAACATTTTAAAAAATAAATAAAACTACACTGGAACAAGCAAACCCACTCTGGAAACTAACTGAAACTAAACTGAATTGAAAACAATAATTAAAACCGAAATAAGAATAAAAACGAATGAAAAATATAACTGTAACTATAATAACACTGGTGAGTAGTATTATTATCACTAGAAGATTATCTTGCTGAACAAAACCTGTATAGATAATAAACCTTTGTTTGTCACAGAATCTAATGGAAATATCCCATCAGCTTGTTGTCATAGGAACCAGGGGTATGCTAACCTCTGGGTTGACCCACAAAAACCAGATATAACACGTTAATTAGCGAGTTTTAGCGGTAGTGGCAGGCAGATTTTATTACCAGGCTAGCTGTTTCCCCCTGTTTCCAGTGTTTATGCTAAGCTAAGATAAGCGGCTGCTGGCTGTAGCTTCATCTTTACCGTACAAACAAAAAACAAAAGTGTTGGAATCGAGCAAATACGCCTTTTGCCGAACTGCTCCTTTAATATATTATTTACATACTGAAAGTGATCGTCTGCATCTGCACTAGCAGAATAATTTAACTGTCTCGTGACAAATAAGCATTTACTACAAAATATGAGTGTAGAGTTGATAACATCGACACTTTTTTATAGTCCATAGGCTAATCTCTAGTCTCTAGAGACATATAATGTGCATATTCCAGTACAGGGCTGGCTTGCTGTCTCACATGATTACTATCAACACTGTGCGGTTTAGACAATATTAAGCAAAGCTAAACTACGCACACAAACACTACAAGTATTGTGAGTCACTGACACAAGAACTGAGTTGGACCATATTAGAGTCAAAGCAGAGAGAACCTTTTTAGAACACTAATGTAAGGGCTCACAGAGGAAAAGATAACTACTGACAACCTGTGATTCTGCTTACAGTGTGATCCTGTATAATCATGCGGCCACACTGGAAAATTAGCATGTAGCGCTGCGCACAAAGACCACAGAGTTCTGTGCCATGATGTGATTACTGCTTTCTTGACTTTCTTGTCACCCCACAGCGCTGGTGGAAAAAGGATTCAAACTATAAAGCTAACTAGAAGCAGCATCGCAATGTAAAATGCACCTTTAAGAGTAAATGTCCTGGATTCAGAATTAAAAATACTCACTCTGAAGAATGCTCCCATTCAGTTTGTTAAATATAAGTATTTTAATTGTATACTGTCGAGGTTTGCTCCAGTTAAAAGTGACTACAACCATCCTATACAGTGAAGAAACTAAGTAAAAGGTGGTGGAGTCAAAGTATAAATATATTTTATTACTTAACTCTTCTCAAGTTTTTCTCTGTAAAGGTTAGATGTACTGTAATAGGAGTGACTCAAATAGTGAGACTTTTTCGCTGTGGTCTGTGTTTCATGACTAAAGCCCTTACCTGTGGGAATCTTGTAACCAGTCTCTCCGGGCTTTCTCAGGTTTCTCAGGATGTGGTCAGAGTGCACATTCACCAGCCAACCGACCAACCACAGAACAGACCCTGGAGACGGACCAACCAAAAGCTGCTTCAGCACGACATTTTACGGACCAGAAGCCAGTCAGCCGACTTATGTTTTCGAGGGAATGCTTCAAACATTTTGGGAAATACTGTTATTTGCGTTCTTTCCAAGAGTGAGACTAACAGATCAATATAACTCATATCTGTGTTTCCCCCTGACTCAACTCTTTATGCTAATCTCAGATAATAGCTCTCATTTACTTCATGCACAGACACAAGCTTGCTCGGAGTTACGTTTTCTCATCTAATGCTCAGGAAGAAAGCAAATTAGCATATTTGCCAAAGGTTGAACATTTCTATAAAAGTTACAGCATGTACATTCCTCAGTATCATTGCTGCTGTGACCTACAATGTGAAAAAATAAACTTGACTTACATGCCAGTGATATCCTATTTTATAAGCATGGTTATATTAGGGCTTTGCTCTAAATCATGAGAACGTTCAAACTGATGAAAGGTATTTAAAAAATAAACATACGTACATGATATTTCTACATTGTTTGTTAATTACATTGTGACCTGTTAAAGATTCTGAACTTCTGAGCTGGACTGTGGACAGACTGGGCTATTTAAACTGATCAGTTTAACTTCTGTATATCAGCCTGGTTCCAGAAGTCTGAAGTGAATTGAATTTCAGGTTAAATAAATAAATGGAAATTAGGATATCATAATGTTGGTAATTCAATATATTTGGTGTATTGTCCACATTTCACATTTACACAAGCAGCGCAGAAAGTCAATAATGTATTTACTGCATATGTCATCTGTAGGGAAATATCCCCTTGTCCTGTCAAAGGTGGGTAGTAAAATGTTGGAAATAAATGAGTAAACTGTACTTTAAAACTATAATTCTACATTTTAATATTGTGTTAGGCTGGTCTTTATCTGCTGCAGATGCAAGGTTTGATAGGGAGTGTAAGGAGAGTGGAGGGACAGTAATAGTGGAATAACATATATTCTAAATTGACAGTTTCCTCAGTTAGCTTAAACAGCGAACGGAGCCAAGAAAAACTGCTGTGCACCTTTGAGATTTGGAAAGCATGAGAAGCACCTGGAGTGGAACAAAAGCCAAGAGATGACAAAACTGTTTGAATGGCAGCTATGTTTTCAAGCAAAGCCTTGCCATCTCATTTCATTTCAAATGGAGCAAGAGAAGGCATCGGGGAGGGAAGCAACAATCCTGTTGGAATCCTGACTGTGCATCCATTCCTCCCTCATTTATCAAACGGCGTCTTATCCAGTTATTTTTCATATTGTTTTACAGTAATCTGCACTGCACACACTACACAATATTAAAACACACAGTAGCTTCTACTTTGAGTATTTAACCAAGTACTTTTTTTTACTTTTACTTTATTATTGTAATAATAGTGGATTTAGTTAACTGAGTCATTTAGATGAGACTGTTGACAATTTGAGATCTGTTGGTTATTTGAAGCTGGTTTACAGTCGATCCGGAGCTGTTGTCCTTAAGCCCAAACAAGCAAAAGTGAAAGTTTATTGACAGTTTGCTGGATAAAGACGTTTTAGGCTGAATACAAATAAAATACAAACGGCCCACTTTCTTCAATTTATAATGAAAGAGTGTTGATATGATACACATGTTGATTTTAGATAAGAACTTGCAGGTTACTGGAAAATCACTATGATTTGTCAGTGTTATTTTCACAATTAAAATGTGACCTATAATTATACATGATAAAACTAAATCAAATAAAAGTTTGCAACCAAAAAGGAATCAAACAAATGTAGTCTGAGATACTGTGAGAAAAAAGAAATAAACTCAACTGAAAGATTCTGACTGTGAAGAGACCAATTAAACCAGAACATCTGGCATTTAATTTGTCATTTGTTATTAGAACGCTAAAACTTATTAAATGTTTAACTGCAGAGCTCATTTTGCTCAAAATAATTCATGCAATTAAATCAGCTTTTTAAGAGATTTTAGGGAGGTTTAATTTCTTTAATAGCAGGCTTATGACTATCAATTAAAAGTCTCTTGCGCGTTCACTGAGAACCTCCACCCATCATGCACCAACACCACTGATACTCTGACCACATTCACTGGTAATATCTAATCTTTAACAGTAACGAAAGTGTGGAAACGTGAAACACCATACAATGCAAGAACATATGAAATAAGACCTAAATCTACTGCCCCAGTGCATGCTGGGAGGGTTCCCAACACACCCACATCATATACCTGCACAGCACATGATCAGCACTCAGCCAATCATATCAATAGTGATCATGGTTTCAACTTTCATCACATTTTGCCTTTATTTCAAAATAAGAGCACACTGTTATTCGGGATTAATAAATCAATCTTAAACTGTCTCAAACTGGCCTGCTAGCCTGAATTAGTTCATAAGAGGGGCCAAATTTATTTAAGAAAGAAAAAAAGGGGCAGACAAGCTCTTGTGCAAAATAAAACAATTCACAGAACACCTACCTGCGATGAAGCATGGATGTGTAACCCAGTATGCAGGGTACTCAGCATAATGGCTCAGGTACCTGATCTGCATGTAGCCATTATAGATGCAGAAAACAATGGCCAGGGCAAATGAGGCGAATGGTGTTGCTTTACCTCCTCTGATTAGAAATGGATAGATGAGGGATCTGCAGCAGAACCAAAAAGTGATTCACACAGCTCTGTTCAAATGCTTACTTTGACTGCTAATTCATTAGTTAGCTACTGATGTAATAAAAGATACAGCGCCTCCATTGATTGCAATCTCCTACCTCTGAACATAGTGGCAGAAATACATAGCAATGAGCAGCTGGTTGGACAGCAGCGAGGTCTTTGCACAGGATGTCCATACCAGCAGGCACACTGGCACCAGGAACGCAGGCAGCTCCTGGACGAACCACGCAAACCTGGCATTAACTGGGAATCCATATTTGCTGGTAGCATATCGGCCGTACGGGACATTTTCGAAAAGCAGAGTAACAAAAGTGCAGGCTGCCATGAAAACCATACAGTAAGCCATGCAGTCTAAAATGTACAGCTCCTCCTTTTCCGAGGAGAAAAGCCTGGAGAGCAGGGAGTCCATCATGGCGGCAGGGCTACTGTTACAAAACTCAAAGCAGAAACAATGTAAATGTAACTAATGTTTGCAACTATTTGACAGTATGCTCTGTAACCTAACTAGCTGAAGCCACTGACGACACATGGATGTCCGACCCAGGACCAATCACAGGCCGTGAACAGATATGGCATCGGGTCTTCTCAGCCAATCAAAATGCTCCGTTTAGCATCGAAGTTATTCAACCACCGTGGGGGTCTGATGACACTAATACATATTCATAGATTCATCTGCATTTAATATATCCAACACTGTAAGCAATTACCGGTTACTATTGGCTCACTATACTCACGTACAAGCGTCAGTATAGTTTATTTAATGTGACATTCAAGCTGGAATTAACGAATAACTGGAACAAATTGTTAATGCCAACATAAAAAAAAGAAATAAACAAGAAAAGTTAGCATTTTTGAGCGAATTATTTCACTGTGTAAGGATTTTATATTACATTAAGATACATTATTTTCAAAAATGGCACGAAATGCCCCGAACTGAGATGTTTTCCTTCACTTCAGGCAGATTTCGCGGCCACCTCGAAAGGTCCTGATTCACGTGCGTCAGAGGCAACACGTTTCGAGGATACACAGCAGAGCAGCCCACCCTCCAGCGACCACTACACCTACATTTAAACCCGGTTCCAAGTAGCTTTCCTCTGCATTGTTCCACCACGTTGCTCCGCAGACTTTTCTCCAAAGTGGTCTGCTATTCTAAAATGGGGAAAAGAAGCAGGCAGCGGCAGAAGAACCAGCCTGCTGGCAGAGACAACAGGGACGACAGGGACAACGCTGTAAGATTCATATGGCTGCTGCAGCCACTCTGGCTAATGTTAGATCTCAAGTGCTCAGTCAGGCCACATGTGGTCTTTATTTACTAAATGCGAGCGGTCTTACATGTTATCTTTAATACACGTGTGCAGTCGTGCTGCTGTGACACTGCTAAACAGCTGCAACACCACAGAGCTTTGCTGTTGGTAGCTACCGTGAACTTAGCTAGTTTTAAAGCCATGTGTGACCACCGTTAGACCTTTAGTCCAGATATGCCTGGTTGTCTTTGTCTGGAGAGATTGTTGTGCTTCACCAGACTTTGCTCAGAAATGCCTTAATTTTATGTTTGCATGATCTTGGTTTACCTCTTTCAAGTCTGATGTTCTTTTAGCAAAACACTGCGAGGGGAAGAAGCAGGTAGGGTTGAAAAGGGCCCTCAGGAATGTCATTGAAAAGTACTTTTTGAGGATTACTACATGCCGAATTGACCATTAGGTCTCACTAAAATGCAACAGGTCGTATGACATGTTCTACACGTTACTTACCCTTGACCATGAGCAAGAAAAAGTTAAATTGATGGAATTTTGAATGACAATCAATGTATATTTTTATTTATACACAAACAATTGCATCCCCATCTAGTAGGTGCTTTTCCAGTTATTCTGTACAGAAAGGCAGTTCTTATATTCACTATGTATGGCCCCCACCAATAAGCTTGCATCCATGTGTTCAGGGCTGGGGAGCTGGCTATGCTGACATCGTCAAGGAGAATAAGCTGTTTGAGCACTACTACAAGGAACAAGGCCTGGTGCCTGATGGAGAGTTCGAACAGTTTATGGAGGCAATGAGGGAACCGCTGCCAGCAACCATCCGCATCACTGGATACAAGAGGTGAGCTGGACAGATTTATGACCTGGGTTCAGACTCTTTGTCCTGCTGGTAAAATGTGTCCTTTTCAGCACCACGCAAGATATGTAAAATCAGGGTGCCTTTCTTTCTGTCTATATATATACACACCCCACAGAGCAGCATTCAATACTTTTTTTTTATTAGTAGGATTACTTGTCCGAAGATACTGCTCAAATGTTAAAAAATCTAATAGGCTGTATGGTTTTGTTGTTGTACATTTGTCAACTTTTGAATTCTCATTTTTCAGGACACAAAAAGAAAACATTGCCTATGTCCACCTCACTTAAGCATTAATAAAGCCCTTATTTTAATATTTATTATGGATATTTAGCGGAGGAAAACAGCTTCAGATCATGTCATTTGGCTTTAATTGATAAAAGTGCTTTTGAACTAAGTTTGTATGACAGTAGATGAGACAGTAAGGCATGAACAAAAATCTAGATGTAGAAGTAGACTCACAACTTTGCACAGAATTGCATTGAGTACTTTTAACAGTACAGATGCTGTTTACTGTACTGGTTGTGACTAATGTCCAATGTCACCTTGTATGTTGTGTCTGTATTTTTACGGTAAATCAGATTTCCCCTAAGGGACAATAAAGATCTGAACTATCTTGTTCTAAGCTCCAATATTTGGGCAATGGTTTGAATTAATTTGATTTATAATGTTGGATTACTGCTGCCTAATTCTGTTACTACATGCCCAATTTCATCTGCTTTGTCTTTTTCCAGCCATGCCAAGGAAATCCTCCACTGTCTGAAGGAGAAATATTTTAAAGATATTCAAGAGGTGGACATCGATGGCCAGAAGATTGAGGCTCCGCAGCCTCTGAGCTGGTAAGATGTCATGGTTTACCAAAGGCTAAAGGGACACAGGTTCAGACTAGAATCTCAGCACACACTGTGTCATATCCTCTCCAGGTATCCCGACGAGCAGGCTTGGCACACCAACATGAGCAGGAAGATCATTAGGAAGTCTCCCTTGTTGGAGAAGTTCCACCAGTTCCTGGTCAGCGAGACGGAGTCGGTGAGTCAAACACAAACCAAACAGAAGAGTTATCAGTAACACCTGTGGCCCTATTAAAGGCCCCGCTAAAGACAGTAACTTTTAACAGGAGCATTGCAGGTTTTAATATTCGCCATGTTCTCAAAAGACAAGGAGAGCACAATGTCAGAAGTCGTCAGAGAGTTGAAGAGACGAGCATCATTTCTGTGTTTGTCCTCGCAGGGTAACATCAGCCGACAGGAAGCTGTCAGTATGATCCCTCCTCTCCTCCTGAAGATTGAGTCCCACCACAAGGTAAAAGCACTGCCCTCTCTGAAGGTTAAGACCAGTACACCCGTCAGCGCTTAATGCATTTTTTATTTAATATTCTTTCCCCCTTGTAAGACTCCTTCCCCATGGCTTGAAAACAGTCCTCTTCAAAAAAACATTTGATTGAAAGTGAAATTGAAGTGTTCCCATGCATGACTTTGCGTGCAGATCCTGGACATGTGTGCAGCTCCAGGGTCAAAGACAGCCCAGCTCATTGAGATGCTCCACGCCGACATGGATGTGCCATTTCCAGGTAAGAAAAAAAAAAAACCCATTTAAAACCAGGAACGATGCCAGAGTAATCGAAGGAGTAAACAAACAATAATCTCTCCAACCTACTCTTCTACCCTCCAGAGGGCTTCGTCATTGCCAATGACGTGGACAACAAGCGCTGCTACCTGCTTGTCCACCAGGCCAAGCGTCTCAACAGCCCCTGCATCATGGTGGTCAACCACGACGCCTCCTGCATCCCCACGCTCAAGATCGACTGCAACGGCGAGAAGGACATCCTCTTCTACGACCGCATCCTGTGCGACGTGCCCTGCAGGTCAGCAAAGGACCGCAGGACTTTGCGTCTGCATCACGGCCCGCGTACAATATTGCAGCACTGAGCGAGAGTTGGGAGTTTGGAAGTCTGAGGAGGAAGTGGATAAAGAAAGAAATATGGTTTAAAAGCCCCGCAGTACGTGTGGTTGTTGGACTGAAGAAGAGATTTTGTGCGACAGATGGAGATGAGGCTTTACCCTGTCTGTCAAACGCAGGGTATTTACAGTTCTTTTAGAAATGGCTGTTAATAGTGTTTCAGTACAGGCTTAGTGGTAAAACATTCTTCTTCACTTGAAATTTAGCATCATTTTATGGCCAAAACAGAAGTGCGTTTGTTTGCAAATGCTGCCTGAGTTTGGCCAGCTGTAGTGCTGAAGCCAGGAGGCCCTGCCAAACACAACATAGGGAGGAGGGAGGGGAGGAAAAGCCGTAATGAAGACAGAGGCAGGCAGGCAGGCAGCAGTGTTGTGAGCAGTCAGCTAAAGCCCAGCGTTTAGACATTTTGTGCTTGGCAGACATTTTTGCCCTGTGAGAAGCGTCGGGGCTCTGTGGTGGGTTCAGCGCCTCGGGCCGAACCAGGGGGTTGTGTCTGACTGGTGCTGCTGTGTGCTCTGTGTTCTGCAGCGGGGACGGCACCATGAGGAAGAACATAGACGTGTGGAAGAAGTGGACGACAAGCAACAGCCTGCACCTCCACGGGTGAGTGGGGGGGGGGGGG